TCTTGTTACTCCCCACTTCCACGAAGATGCACAGTAAAAATCCCTCCATGTGTTGCATTTGACTGCAAAAACAAGCAGTTTGCCGGGTGTGGGAAGACGTTCCCAAGTAATTTACTCAGTGGATGAACTAACCAAGAAAATCCAGTGTATGCTATAGTATAGTGTGTAGCATAACAGTAGTCTGGCTTTCTTGGACCGACTCAAAGACATTGACTGAGTTGTGTCTAACGTTAGAAAATAGAAACTAGAGTAAATAGAAAGTTATTCACTGTGAAATATCAATATAGTAATTCTGTATTAAGTGGATTACTCTGTCGTTTTTGTAGCATTTGTTGTATTCTTCATTTTAAAAAGTCATGAGCTGAAACATATTGCATGTTATATAAGCAACTCAAACATTTTTAAAGGTTAATGCACAGACAGTATAAAAGTGTATGACATCATGCATGCGCAATTTGCAAATAGAAAGATACTATAGCATTAACAGATTTATACTTGTAATTCAGCCTTGATGCGAAATTATGAAATTATATGTAATATATTATAACAACAATTATGTAATCAATACATGTATTTATTTAGCACTTTTGGCACTTCTGTATTATTATGCTAAATTAACACACTAATTTTGTTGTGATGAATTTGTACCATGTTATATTACATGATTTATAGACTTCATAATGACTATGCAAGGTGATGTGCCTATTTATTTTTTAATTATAAGTTAAAGTAATCTCCTTATGCTATGAAACAGGAAGTTTGTGTGCAAGTGATGAATTTATCTTTATTTTAAAAGCCTTTAGTCCCCCTGAAAATGAGAACATCATCTTTGTTCGATGCTGTAGTTCACATTTTGTTCAACCCTGTACCACCATGTAAAGAGGTCATTTCGTTGTTTTGTGACAATGTAATGACAATAAAACGCTATAAAAAAAAAAGGAAATCCTGCTGTTTGGAAACACTATTTTAGATGAATCCAAATGTAGATGTTAGAGTATCAACTTAAGCTTTTTACTAAAGTAAAATAATTTTTAATGGTTATTTTACTTTCTCTCATTAAAGTATATATATATAAAAAAATGTTAAGGACAGATGCTTTAACCTCATACTGGTAACTGCATTACATTACTAAAGGAATTTTTTTTTTACAATTCTGGATGATAATTTCCTTAGACTTTATTTTCTTAGATTTTTAACTAATGGCAACAGTGTCAAATTTAATTTAGAATCATCTTGAAAAACAATTTATTTTGGTATGTAATGAATGACAAGTTGGTGCAGCACCGAGTCCAACCACAAAGAAATTATTCGNACATGATTTATAGACTTCATAATGACTATGCAAGGTGATGTGCCTATTTATTTTTTAATTATAAGTTAAAGTAATCTCCTTATGCTATGAAACAGGAAGTTTGTGTGCAAGTGATGAATTTATCTTTATTTTAAAAGCCTTTAGTCCCCCTGAAAATGAGAACATCATCTTTGTTCGATGCTGTAGTTCACATTTTGTTCAACCCTGTACCACCATGTAAAGAGGTCATTTCGTTGTTTTGTGACAATGTAATGACAATAAAACGCTATAAAAAAAAAAGGAAATCCTGCTGTTTGGAAACACTATTTTAGATGAATCCAAATGTAGATGTTAGAGTATCAACTTAAGCTTTTTACTAAAGTAAAATAATTTTTAATGGTTATTTTACTTTCTCTCATTAAAGTATATATATATAAAAAAATGTTAAGGACAGATGCTTTAACCTCATACTGGTAACTGCATTACATTACTAAAGGAATTTTTTTTTTACAATTCTGGATGATAATTTCCTTAGACTTTATTTTCTTAGATTTTTAACTAATGGCAACAGTGTCAAATTTAATTTAGAATCATCTTGAAAAACAATTTATTTTGGTATGTAATGAATGACAAGTTGGTGCAGCACCGAGTCCAACCACAAAGAAATTATTCGGATGGTTTTTATATTTTTTTAAATAACAAAAGGCCATTATAAAAAAATAGGTCAAATGAAACAAAACTGAGACGATTTTTAGAATGTAAGGAGTAAAAAGTAGAGATAATTGCAAAAAAATGTAAAGAGTAGAAGTGAAAAGTTGTCCAAAAAAATAATTACTCCAGCACTGCAAAAAAAGCAGCAAAGCCTTATAAAGCTAAAAGCAGGTTTCCCCATTAGATAAGACAACAAACCGGAGTGCTCAGAGTGACGTAGGATATTAAAAAGTTTATTGAATTTCAGATTAAGGGGATATGGACATCGTTTCCAAACAATTCGATGAGGCAGCTGGTTGTGTTAATGCTACTGAAAAAGACCCAACACATTTTATAAACTCAAAGTGTCATTTTTAATATACTTACTTTGAAAATAAAATGGTGGACTATAAACTTAAAAATTTCTTTATAAAGCAAATAAATGAAACTTAATAAAAATTTGCCAAGTGGAAAGAAAACTATGTAGCCGACAGCTGATTGGTGGTTCAAAAGGGCTTTATTGTCCATTCTCATGTGATGCCTTAAAGCAAATATTTCAATTTTTCTCATCTAGCACAACATCAACGAAGAAGAAAAAGAAGAAAAAGTCATCACATGACCAGTAGAGGTGCTGATGGTCTGAAAAACAGAAGTAGGAGCCGAATGAGGCGAAGCAGGCTTCTAACATATAAACAAATCACTTACCTGCAGCTTTCTCTGCTCAAAGAGCTTCGGCTCTCAGGTTTTATCATGTATGTACATTCTGAGCACAAACACACCAAATTAAAAGATATTAAGAGTCTCTATCCTCTAACTTAGCTCTTAGTCGTTCTTGATCCAAGGTATTTTCCTTAAACTGAACAGCTCCGAGCCAAAAAGCAATCATCTCCTTGATGCCAAAGCTAAAAACAAAAATGGGAAACCCAAAACAAAAATCAACTTTGTGTTGTTTGGTAACTTGTTTTTGATCTTTCTTTTTTTTGTTGTTTTTTTTAAAACTCTAGAGGTTTTACACATTTTTTTTTTTAAAAATAAAAAACATTTTGTTTTTTCAAACTACCAGGAAACCTGACTGGGACTGAAACAGGAAAACCTTTACCAGGTTTTTAAAGGAAAAATCCCCGAGTGTAATGCTGGGGGAGTTTTCAGGAAGTCCAGTGGCTGTTATTATAACCTCCTCTTCCTCCGGGTAAAATAGGATACATGATGGAGGATGGCTTCAGCTTCTTGGAAAACACGTCCGGACTGAACAGAGTTGGAAGGCTGCGGAATCAGTTTTAGGGAGTTCCAGACAGAAACTGCGATCTGAGCTCAGAACCGGAGGTGAGATTTGTGTTTCACCATGTATCTAAATAAAAAAAAAAAAAGAATAAAACAAGTTATTTTTGGTTTGTTTTTCACTTTGAGAAAACTGGTAAAAAACAAACAAACAGAGAAATAAAAATCACCTGTCGAGGGTTTCCCAAAAGCGCAAGAAGACGGGTCGGTCCAGATGGCGCTTGTGGCGACTCAGCTCCAAAACGGTCACATCCCATTTCTGCACATTGGGGTCGGTCTTTGCCTCGTCGTATTTCAAATGGAAAGCTCGAACTGGAGGGGATAGAGGGGCGCCATGAGTGAGCTGCGCTCAGAGCTTTGCTTAAAGGAATAGTGCACCCAAAACATGATTAGCCTTCATTTTCTACTCACCCCCATGCTGAACAACACTCTGGAGTACTTTTTTGATATCTCAAATGCATCTGGAGATCTTGGCGCATTCGAGGAATATGTAAACATTCAAATAATGGAGGTCTATGGCGCCCG